ACGGGGAGCCACTGCCTCTTACTGGTGCCTCTCCAGATACTGCCGATCCCAGCTCCTGCCTCAAGCATGCTGTTGAGAACCTATAAAATGGAGTGCAGACTCAGCGCTCAGGGCAGAGCCTTTTGCTTATTGCTTCCATCCCACAGAAGGGATCTTCAGGTTGCTTTAAGATCACTTTTCTAAGTAACTAATGCCTTCTCTCTCCCTTATTTCCTAGGCTTTCCTGTCCTCTAGGTGCCAGTGAGATTCTTGTCCTTCTACAGACTGCTGTGCTCCATGGGAGGCTTCCTGAAGCATTTTGTGTGACCTTGGAGGAGGTAAGGGAGAGAGTGGCACTTCAAAACAAGGACAGTAGTAGAAAATTGAATAGGAACACAGGCTCCAAAGGTAGGAAGCCTGCAAGGCTCCCAAATATCTTATCAGCATGGCCAGATATCATGAACTAATGAATTTGCCTGTGGCCAGAAAGCTTGGGTACTGCTTTGTAAGATGTGTTTTGTGAGAGACAAGCGCCTTTCCTTTACACGGGCACAGCACCCTGGGTTTTCCTGTGCTTTCCCTGTGCCAGCTGTGGGCATCTGCCTGAGAGACCCCAGCGGAGATTGTAAAAAGTAATCCCACACAGAGGGAACTTTCCCTCCTCTTTGTTTACCATCGAAGTTATGTCTTCTACCTCCAGGAGCCTTTTCCCAGCACATCCTCAGCAAACCTTCATAAACACTTGAGATGTAAAAACGAGAGCTAGCTCTTTGCCTGTTGCTAGCGAAACTGACTTCCACATACGCCCCTAGACTGAGTCACCATGGATTTAAAGTGCTTCTGAAAAGGTGAAATCCTCCAGCCTGGGAATGAGTTGAGGTGTCAGTCGTTAAAATTGTTCTGTATCGTAAAAAAGTAGGTTACTACGTCTCATTGTGAACAATTACGTCTAATTACAAGTCACAGATTCACCACAAATACTATTTAATAACAAATTTCTACCACACTTCATCCAGAGCATGTTATGAAGTAACACATTACCTCTGGTTTGTGGATAGGTAACGTGATGCAGAA